TCTACCTAAATCTTCAACAAATTCTACATCCCAGTTATTTATTCCTTTCCAAAACCATGCCATAAATTGTCAACAGCCTTTCAGGCAGAAAACAAGCATCTGGGGGCAAGGGGCCATTTCCCTACCAAGTGAGTACCACATCATTAACACGGAATGCACTTGGGCTCATCAGCAAGATTAATAAGTAGATTGGATTTTTTTTTTCTCATGTGAGAAACCCAAGTGGATTTCATAACCTAATCATTAGTGGATGAAACCAGGCTTGAAAACACAACTAGACAAGAAGTTATGTCTGTGCACTGTACTCTGTCCCCAGGCATTTTTATTGCCACGTTTAATGCACATTTCAATACACTAAAAAAGTCTCAGGAAAAGAGCACTTAATAAAAGCAAGTTTAGCTCAGCATAGAAGAATTTCTAAGAGAGAAGTGTTTAATTCTGTTTCACTGGAGAACTAAACCTGAGATAAAGCTTTTGAAGTCTTTCCCAAGTATGCATCGCTACAGGAGAGAGGGATTTCTCTCCATCTGGCTGACGGAGAAAGGGTCTCCTGCCTGGCGTAAGCCCTCTCTTCCTGGCTTCCCCTTTATCATCTGGAAGCAGCATGCAGCCCCTAATGGAGAGAGTCCTCATTAGAAGCCACCCCAAACTGCACTCCCATTAGTGCTAAATGCCCTTTTAAAGTTAAAAGAAACACAGTACACAAAGCTGCAGGGGACTCGGGCCTCTGTTTCCCTTCCCTTTGGAGCTTCCCTGAGGGCAGCAGGGGACAGTTACTGTACCATCACTGCCTGATTAACGTGCCAGGCAGCTGTCACAGCCACTTTCTCCTGGAATCAGCTCTGGGCCCTAGCTCAGGTGTATCAGCAGGTGCCCCAGGACTTCACACCTGCTGGGATGGAAGACAGAAACATGAGTTAATTAAGCCTATTGTTCAAACAATTTGTTTCTCACAGAGGTTGACTCACTGACAGTGATCTCAGCACAATCTCATTTCCAGGGTAGACTGCAGCCCACATTCCCGGCGGGCGCGAGGACTCTCCTCTGCAGAAATTCATTTTATTTCCCAGACTCCCAGGTCACTGACAGAGTAACACTTAGCTGAGGGGGGAGAAAAATGTATGGCTAATGGATGACAGTTGTTTTGTTTTTTTTTTTCCAGAACTATATGGTGCTTGTAATTTTTTTTCCATAGCCATGAAGTTCCTCAGAGTACCAGCACTAGGGAGAAGTGTGAATAAGTTGGATGCTGAAGATTTACTCATGTGCAGCGTTCTTACTGAAAGTCAGGAACGAAAACAGCTTTCGAAAGGTGCTCTCGGTTGCTCTTGGCAGAGTGACGCATGGGAAAGAATGGATGGTCTCGAGCCAGGAGAACATGCAGAGAAGAGATATAGGAAGAAGGACTGGCAGCCCTTTTTCATCAGAGGACATTTCTCATATCAATTGCTTCTATTTTTATTTGCATCCTTGTTGTGTTCCCGTCTACCTCTCTAATGATGTTCTGGACTCTTTTCACACTTATTTATCTCTGGTCACCAAGAAAAGTAGAACTGGTTTCTCCATGAATCCAACCCAGGCAAGAGCACAACCAAAGTTTCCAGCCACTGCACACATTGGACCCCAGCTGCACCTTGAGTCTCATGCTGTGTGTTTGAAGCTATAAAGAGGACAAAGACCAGGGGAAAACCTGAGACCGTTTTTAGGTGGATAGGAGAAGAATCCAGAGTCTTTCCTTTGCCATCTCCTTAGAGAACTTGAAGTAAGAACTTGTTTTTGGGATCATCTACATTTAATCGCTTGATTTCACAATTTGAAAAAACAAAATCCAACCTAAAGAAAGGAGCTTAGCTAACTCAGACTGATGAATCAACGTTTGTGAAACCTGAAAGCTATACATTTTGGAGACTGCTTTTAGGGATAATAATGCATAATTACAAAAGCAGATTTGATACAGGGCCTAGAAAGGGCTTTTGACAAATAAAACACTTAAATTTCATTGATCTTCTGGCAAATCCATTCACAAGCCAAGTGTCTTAGTTACTTTTCTTGTTGCTGAGACAAAATATCCAACACCCAAAGTAAGAGGGGAAAGGTTTATTTAGCTCACAGTTTGTAGAGGTTTCAGTTCACAACTGGCTGGATCCCAAGGCAGGGTGGCCTCACAGGAGAAACAGTTCATGGCAGGCAAAGACAGAAAAGCACCAAGGGATGACCGCAGTGCTCTCTGTCCCTATATCTTATCCAGGCTACTTAGGGCAGGCAGCACCCACACCCTTAATCTTAGAACCTTTGAGCCCAGCCTTGCACCACAAATCAATTCTAGCATCACACGCTCTAGATCCAGCCATCTCTGAAAAAGTGTCACTTGGGACTGCATGAGGTTTGGGGGGACAGCTAGAGCCTTAACACCAAGGTCTTTCTAATCGAGTGACTAGTTAAAAGAAAGGTTGAGGGTTTTCTGGATATAATCCTGCTTAGACATCCAGCTCAATTAATGGTGAATCCCTTGTCGATTTCCAGGTGGAGGAAGGAGACATCAAGGCACCCTCTGTGAACCACTCCTGCACTGAATCATTCCACCTGTATCACGAGGCATGGTTCGGTTCTGAATGTCCATTCACATCTGCTTATGTGCAAAAGGACAACAAGGTACTAGGAAGAAAACAGATATGGAAAGTAGAATATAAAACAGTAACGGTAGAAGTCTTGATATACAGTTGGGGAACTTATTTTCAGTTGAAAAAAATGTTATTCTTCACTGATTATTAGACCTGTGAAAAACCATGTCACTGTGTGTATAAATCAGTCAATTACAATAATTAGAGAAAGAAAAGGAAAAGAAGACAAGCTCTTACATTCCTGATCTCTAACCACTCCCAACAAGTAAGGCTTCATTAAAAAGGTGCACCTTTTCCCATCTCCTGAGACTTCGAGACTTTACATTTTGTTGACTTGGAACCCAAATGTGAATTTTCTACACTGAACTGTAAGCTTCCACCTCTTCCATCACAGCCCAGGGAGTAATTAAAAGCACCACCTGGATGGCCTTTGCCACCTAGGGGCCTTGGGAAGCCCAGACCTGTGAGTCTTCACCACTGATTGCCTAGATCACCTTGGATTATCCTCAGGAGGACATTTGTGACCTAGTTAAAAAGCAGACAAATTCCTCCAAGTGTTAAGGTAAATGTTGTCTTGTTACACAACAGCTGTCGGCTACAAGTTTAAGTTGACATGAAGGAGTTTTCTTCTTAGCTGCACACACACACACACACACACACACACACACACACACAAAACCAAGATATTTGTTTCCGTAGATATGACTTTACATTTAGTTCAGGCAAAGGTGCATATTTTACTAAATTTCAAACTTTCATCATGCCCTAAGGTTTGGATCCACCTCTTCTATGTGCTCAGCACTCAGGAAACCATTGTTAAATCACTCTGCCCTTGTTACTACCTCAGTCAACCTGGAGCCACACTTTTCTGTCAAATATTCAATGCATGAGCAGTATGATCATCAATCTACAGAATTTATCTCAAAAGATAGCCTGTATAAGGTTGATCAACACGCCGGAGGAGTGGGATGGAAAGCAAATACTCAGCACTTGGTACAAAAGAACTTGCACCCAGCTCAATATAGGAAGAAAGATTATGACTGTAAACTAAGAGTCGTGTGCTTTGAAGGGACTGGGGGGGGTGCAGAAAAAAGATTTCTATGATTTAACCACTTCTGTTCACATCATACAGTAAAATGTACTCAAAATTCATCACAGACCCCACTGCACAAGGTAAAAGTTCAAACTCTTCAAAGAAAATGAAAATTTAAGTTTTTATTCCCTTGAAATAGACAGTGAGTTGTTTTCAAATACCAAAAGCACAAGCCACAAAAAACCAAACTCGATTAACTGGACAGCTTCAAAATTAAAAACTTTTATGTTCCAAGGGATGCCACTAAGAGAGTGAAAAAATAATTCATAAAATGGGAGAAAATCTTGTCACATGTGGAAGTTAGGCAAAAAGAGGACATGGAAGCGGAAGGGACACTGAGAAGCAGGGGATGGGGCAGGAGATGAAGGAGGTGAATGTGACCAAAGAATGCTGCATACATGAATGAAAATTCACAACGAAACTCGGTATTCTGCATAGTTAACATGCACTAAGAAAAACAGATACTGACGTAAAATGGGAGAAAACACTTGCGATTCAGAATATATAAGAAACATTTCCAACTTAATAATACAAATAGAAATGATCCAACTAAAACAAAGAAGGATTTAATAGGTATTTCTCCAAAGAAGATCGACAAATGCCCAATAATCACATGAAAAATCACCCAACATCATTAGTCCGTGTAAATTAAAACCACAGCAAGATGTCACCTCATGCCCACCAGGGCGACTCAAAGGAGAAAGGCAGCAGCAACTGCGGGGGAACATGCGGAAAAGTAGGGACACACACATTGCTGGTAGGACCGCAAGTCCTTTTAGAAAGGCGGTGTGGCTGCTTCTCAGAAAGTACACCGTATGACGTAGCAACTCCACTCCCTGGTGTGCACCCAAGAGAAGTGACCACAACTACTGTCCACCCGAACCTTCAGTCTATTCTGGATGATCCTGTGCCTGACAGTTGTAAAGTGGGAAGAACTCAGAAGCGCATCAGCTCAAGAATGGATAAACAAAACGCAGTAGAGCCACACGATGGAAAATTATATGGGACTCAGAAGTGTGGTTCGTGCTGCCACACAGGTGAACCTTGAATGTATTATGCTAAGTGAAAGCAACCACACGAAAAAGAACCCGTTATACTGCCCCATTTACATAAAATGTCTGAAACAGGCAAATCCACGGAGGTAGGAAGTAGAGTGGTTGCCAAGGGCTGAGAGTGGGCGTGGGCTTTTCTCTGGGTGATGACGTGTACTAGGAGGATCATGACCACACTCCTTTGTGCGTATACCAAAACCCACCGCATTCGGCACTTTAAAAGGGTGAATTGATAGTACGCAAACGCTACCTTAGAGCTGTTATGAAGCACACAACAAAACAGGGCTGGGGTTGTCGCTCCACAAGAGGGCGCTCGCTTCGCATTGAAGACTTTGGGTTCAAACCCCAGTGCTGCAACAAAGGGAAACATTTCTGTTCCTGGCAGAGGGTGACCTTGTCATGACTCCTCTAGGTAGGGAAAATCAGGGAGAGAACAGCCGCCCGTGTGGCAACCGGTCAACGGCATCCTCCAAATGCCCTGTTGGTTCTGAGTCCAGCCGGGACTGGCTTCCCCCGTGGCAGTAGCCTCAGCTTCCTGAGGTGTGTGGTAGACATGTTTATGGGTCCTATGTGGGTGCTCTGAAGGGTTCCATGGGACACAGCTGTGAACAAGACAGACAGGGTCCCTGAGCTCCCATCCTGCCAGCCAAGGGAGGGACTCGGAGAAGGAAAGAAACATTCATTATACACTGCCTCAAAATAACTTCTCTGCTGACCCAAACTCCTCCCCTCCCGTCACATAATAAGTTATATGTATATAATCTCTATTTCTCTGCATAACTGTCTGATATAGCTGCCTGAAATATAGTCTATTAATTGGGATAGTACCTGCAACATTGAGTCTATGGCAGGCTCATGGTAAGTGCCGAGTAACTGTCATCAGTACGGTGAACACTTGAGTTACGACCAGCCTGACATACGAATAACTTGGGTTACAACTGAAATTTTAGTTTTAACTTATGAACAAAGTCTTGAGCTACCACCTAAATGCCAGCCACTTGCTCGTTCAGATGGTCTCAGATGCAGACTTAACCCTTAAAGAGCTCTGGCAGGAACAAGACAGCACCCTTTCCTGTGTGGGGTTCACTGAGAGATCCTGGGCCATTGCCTCTCTGAGGACACTGAGATCTGCCTATGTATAGGAGAGAGACTTTGAAGGGTGTGTTGAGGGGCCTGAGCCTTCACTGACCAAGTAGAGTCACAGCCAGCCCTTGTGAATGAGTTGAGTTTGTAAGTCAAGGGCCCACTGTATTGTCGTGTCCTGAGGAAATGCTGACAGCAAGGGTGTTGTGCTAAGTGAAGATGATGTGACGTCCAGGAGAGCTGGTGTCCCTGAATGGAGCGGCAGGGTCTGTCAGGAGGACGGCTGTGGGGTAGGCAGGAGAGGGAGACAGTGAGGGGGTCTCCACTTCTTCCTTGACCTCACCCTTCCAGGCATGGAATTCAAGAACTGTGATGTGCGTTTCCACAGCTGAGCTGATCTCAATTCTGAATTCTTGGGGGTACTGTTTTCTAAAACGCTCCTGTCTCTGGTACTTTCCTCCTCGCAATACACAGTACCTGAGCTCCATGGTGCAAAGCAATGGACGATTACTTCGGCTCAAGGGCTCAGTCCATGGATGGCCGGCTCCAAGGCAGGCGGAAGGGCCTGGCGGAAGAGAGCTGCTTTCCTCACGGTAGCCAGGAAGCAGAGAGAGAAGGGAGAAGCAGGGAGGAAGACAAACCTCCAGGCCACACTCCAGCAAGCAGTGTGTTCACCCACGTAGTCAGTCAGCTTCTGCCAGCCCCTCCCCCGGCACCAGGCTCTGGGGACCTCGGGTTGAGGCACACTGTGACAGGAGCCGCTGAGGCAGGAAGCCCGGGAGTGTGCCTAGAGAGCTTCCGATGGTGGGCTGAAGACAGCTGTGCGAAGAGGCGCGCTCAGAAGGAATCATTCCCTTTCTGCCGGAGCAGCAGGCAGCACTTGGCAGGCCACAGGCCAGCTGCGTGGACATGGATTGGTGTCCACTCCACACAGCCTGTGCCCAGGGTAAAGGAATGGGGGGCATCCAGGGACCTTCAGGGGGACCCCTGCAGAGAGTCACACCCAGGCCTGTCGAGGGCTCAGGGGAAGAAGTTGGGGGGTCACTCGGCTGAAGCTTCATAAAACAGACTGGCTCTGCAGTCACCAAGAGGTACTGGCAAGACCGGCATTCCAGCTAAATCACAGTCTTTGTAACCATGGATTGGCATTTCTTTTCTTTGAATAGCTGTCATTGTGATATCCAAGCATTCTTCCCTTCATTATAAAGTTAACGTGCTTGTTTTGATTTCGGGCTGAGCCGTGTGACTCAGAGCAAATCACTTAACTGCTCTGAATTCCTGGTGCTTTACCTTCTAAAATGAGGACAAGGATCGTGAAGAGGAAGAGGCTGTGACCGTTAAGTGAAGCCATCTGTCTAAAACTTTGAGCCCAGCAGGCGACTCAATGTCTAATGGGTCTTGGCTGGTTTGGGTAGTGCTGTATTAGCAGTTCTGAGGTAACAACACCAGGCCTGGTGGAAGGGCAAAGTCTAGGGCTTGAGGACCAGATCTCATACCCTAAGGACTTGGCCCAGCCAGGCCAGTCCCTGGCAGGGACCCCTGTGACGTCCTTGCCAAGTGCTTAGCTAGAGACTTTAAAAAGGTTTTTTTTTTTAATGAAGCCATAATATTACTTGCTCACAAGTGTTAAAGCAATTTTTATTCTAGGTATAAGATTGGATAGATGGGTGGAGAGAGGGAGGTAGAGAGAGGTTCGTCAGCGGATACCTGGTGCAGTGGCACAGATTCGTAATTCCAGCTACTTGGGAGGCTGAGGCAGAGGGATCTCACATTTGAAGCTAGCTAGGGCAAGTGAGACCCTCCTCAAAATTAATTAATTAATTAATTAATTAAAAGGGCGTGGACCGCAGACCAGTGGTAGAGCACTTGCCTAGCGTGTGCAAAACCCCAGGCCCACTCCCCAGTTCTGAAAACAAACAAAAACCAAAAAATATGTTAAAAACAGAATGTGAAGACCTTGAGGTCCCACACCAGCTCTCTCTTTCTCTCCTCCATACCCCAGTGGACACTTATTGGATGCTTGTCAAATCCCAACCGCACGCTAGTTGCAGGGACTCGTGAACAAGGTCTCTAGTCCCTTCCACCATGAGATTCCGTGCGTCTAGCCCATATCTCGGCAGACGGCATAGCATGGGCATTCCTTTCCCGCCGCTCCTCCCGGACCTGCGTGGGTGGCGGTGCCTGCCATTCCTAAGTCTCCAGGGAGGAACCCCTCCAAGAGGAAACTGCCCACCTTCTGCCAAACATGCGCTTAGTTCTGCCGAGGGCTGCTCATCACGGCCCTGCGGTGGGAACGGATGGGAAGACACCGGGGCTACAGACTGCTGGTGTTGACAATGACTTAGCAGTCACCCAGGGGCCACTGCCTGCCAGGATCGGACCGCCCACACGCATGTCTGAAAAGTCCTTCCGCTCCAGAGAAGCTCCTTTACCTGCAGAACCACGGCTGTTGCAGAAACAGCCTTTCCTCACGACCACATGCTAATTGCTCTGAGTGACTTGCCCTTTGGGAAAATACTGTCACAAAATGATAAATTCCATTGGCTGACATTTATCATTTCCCCTCTCCTGGTCATGGGCTTCTCTGGGCTTCCTCAGTCCTCTCTGCCAAACAAACACAAGCATATCTGTGCCATTTGAAAAGGCAGCATGATTATACAGCCAGCATTCAGAAGGAAAGGGGGCAAAGACTGCTCAGAAAAAAAAAATACTGATAAAAGCAATCAATTCCACAAGTCTAGCCTCCAGCCAGTCCACAAAAGACTTAAAACAATTTAATTGTAAACTAAAAGCTAAGAAATGGTGTTTAGAGGATTTTTACTCTCGTATCCAGAAACCTCTCACCCACAATAAACTGAAGAGTGAAGTTCCTGCAACAGACTCAAAACCCAAACCGAAGGAGAGAAGGTGTCAAAAAATGATCAGTTAAAGCAATTGGGGGATATTCATTAGGAACACAGAATTCCAAAATAGGCACAAAGTGACCTCTCAATCTTGCCTGTGTGCTCACTAGACCATCACTAAAGTCCTCTGCCAAAACCTCTACTGAAGAGACTCAAAGAGGGAAATCCAGGGGGAAATGAAGCAAGCTGTGTGGTACCGAATGATTTCGCTTTACAGAAATCTCAGTGTGCGCAATTTACCAAAGATATTCTCCATCCTGTCAACACAAATGTGCATTCAATACACCTGTTGGTTGTATTATTAGAAAGCTTTTAGCCAGGGCATGCTGGTGCATCCTTGTACTCCCAGCAGTCCAGCAGGCTGAGGCAGGAGGATTGCAAGGTTTATGTGAGCCTGGGCAGTTTAGCAATATAGGGAGAACTTGTCCAAAGCAGAAACAAACACAAGAGGCTCGAGCTGTAGCTCAGGGTGAAGGCCCTGGGTTCAATCCTCAATAGTGTGGGGGGGCACTTGGTATTAATCATGTCATTCGAACTTTTTATTCATTTATTCACAGTTTCCATAAAGTAAATAATTTTTAGGCCAAGCATAAAAGTAAATATTCCTCCCAAGTGCCAGAATCTATAAACTCTTTGCATTTGCTTGGGGGGGGGGGTCATTTTGACCTGCAGTATAGGCATCTGAACACCAGAGGGCAGTGTGTGAAAGAAAACAAAGTTGCATTGCTAGGCAGCGATGTCACGTGCTTACTACTACATCAAAGCAAAATTTTAAGTGTTTTCCCCCAAAGACATTTATGTCATTTCATGCCTCCAAGATGAAAACTAGAGTTGATAGAAATGTGAATCATGTAGACAACTAATCAAGTTAATTTCAATCATAATGGAAATTAGATTAATTTCATAAGCAATCATTAATAATGGAAGCTGTCATGTATGAATAATCAAAACTTTAAGTATTATATGATAATTAATTCATTACTATGGGTTACATAGCTCAAATCTTCCTGGCTTAGGAGTGCTTATTAAAAGCAATCCTGAGGGATGGGAAACTGAAATGTTTCTTTATAAAAGATTTGTGTGTGTGTGTGTGTGTGTGTGTGTGTGTGTGTGTGCACATGGGTGTGTGTTTATTGGTAATTCACCACCACACATAGAAGAAGCCAGCCGTCGGCCCATTGTAGAAGACATGCTCTTGACAAAATGGGCAAAGTGGAGACTTCATAACAGACTGAGTGTCCCTAGCCCAAACATCTGAAATCCTAACTGTTCCAAAGGGAAGAATTATTTTGAATTCACCTGACTTCCTGTGACTGGTCACTATGGAAAGGTAGGTAAACTAAAAATATTGCATGGAATCCCCATCACTCCCCACGCATAAGGCACATAATGAAAGGTTAATGAATCTTGTGTTTAGATCTGGGTACCATCCTTAAGGTACCTCATTATGTATATGCAAATATTCCAAACCCTGAAGAAAATCAAATTCAGGACACTTCTAGTCCCAAACATTTCAGGTAAAGATGATATACTCAGTCCATATATTATTTTATATTCCATTGCATGTGACTTGAGGCATGGCAAGTGGTCTTGTATGCCCTCAACATTTACAGCAAGATGCATCCAAAAACTAGCTGACTAGTTCTCTATTTCATTTGCAATATTCAAACATACGCAAAATTTTTGCTATTACTAGTCATCTATGCAAAAATCGAATGGACTTGGAGCATACTTTCAAATATTACCTCTTCTTATCTTGTGAGATATTTTAGCATTATCATTAGTGAATCATGAAAACTACCATACAGTGTTTTAGTAATAATGGGATTCCCAGAATACAATGTATCCCTATCACATGTTAAAAGGACATCGTACAGACAAACCTGGCAGGTAAACAGATCTGACCTTGTTCTCTACATTTCCCTCTTCCATTTTGATGCATTATCTAGGTGATCTGGATTTGCCCTGGCTTTGGTGATACCCTGAGTACAATAATTGACTTCATCAATGCTAATTGTATCCATTCCTTCAGCCAACCAGTACTGGGGTCCTCCGCACCCTAGCTTCCCTTTCTAGTACTGAAGCGAACGGGACTGGAGAGGTGGTGCACATCCCCACCATAAGGAAGAACGAAGAGGCATCAAATGCCTGTGGGTTTCTCCAAGAATCTAAAAGGAGCCGATTACAGCTGACCCCCTTGTGAATGAAGAAGAAAGCGATCAATGCTGTGAGATGCCACAGGGTCTTGGTGGACCGGGTAAGGGGCTTGGGATTTACTGCACAGTGGGAACCCACTGGAGGTTGTTGGGTGGGGAAATGGCCTGACGTGCTAGCTTTTAAAGCATTCCTCAAGCATGTTTCAGACAGGTAGGTGGCTGGACTCGGGTCATGGCAGTGTCAGTGATGGGAAGCAGAGAGACAGGATATATTTGAGGGCTGGAACTGACAGGGTTCACCATCAGCTGTGAGGGAAGAACAGTCACCAGTGGCTTCTAGGCTTTGGTCTAAGAACCCTGGTGATGGAGAAGCCAGTAGAAAAAAAGCAGGTTTGCTCATGGTGAGGAGTGAATTTGGCTGCAGGAAATGTAAGATAATGGCGACATAGCTAAGAAGGAAAATTGAATCTGAAACACAGAGAAGAGCTCAGCCGTGGACAGCTAGATCTAAATCCCCACGAAACTCACCAAGTATAAGGGCTGGGGATTTAGCTCAGTGGTTCTGCCGCCCACCTCTCAAACATAAGGTCCCGAGAGTTTGATCCCAGTACAAAAAAACCAAAAAACAAAAAAACAAATTTTTACCCAGTATAGGAGAAGAGTGATGTTATGCAAACACTACCAATTAGAGCTGTCTTGAAAAAGACAGTGCAGAAAGACACTGAGGTACCATATTTACACCGAGGGGTTGAGAGAGCAGCCCCCAAGGGAGCTGGAGGCCCTGAAGACTAGTGACTTCTTCAGGAGCATCACACTTAGGTCACACACAGGAGCATTACCTGTAGAACGATAATTGCTCAGGGAAGCAGATCCTGTGCACATTCTAATTATAGCATCCCTGGACCACGCTGCTACCAACTACAAAGAACACCCCTAATAAATATTATATGGTGTGCCTGCCCCCACGATGGACAGTGACCGGGGAGCTAGTCACTCAATGGCAGTTCTTTTATTTTCTCTTGTTTGTAACTCTTTTCAGGGAACAGAGAACATGACAGCAGCAATAAACAAGGCATGATGTATATCAAAGTGGCCTATGGTTTACACTTCACTCGATCTCCCTCCCACAGTCTCAAAATTGACAGTTCTGTTTTCCACTCATTATCATGAATTAAAGCCAATATGCCAACCTTTGTTTCCCTATTTCTCTTCTTTTGGGGGGGGTTGGGGGGACGTAAGCAAAGCTCTTACTGTAGAGTATCTCACACCGGTTCAGTGCAGAACGACTGGCTAAGCCTCACCTGCCATATAATTGCTTCTCAGAATTGTTTCTCTTTTTCCTTGGGATTAAGAAGTTGTAGTACAGGGGGAAATATTAACTTTCCAAGTAACAGTTCATAATTTTCCTTTGAAACTCAACTCTGACAAGGCCAAGATTGGCATTTCCAAATGGCCACATTCCATCGTAAGTCTCTCCTCACCCAGAAGCCAATGAATGTGCACGCACACAAAAATACAAAAAAAAAAACCTGCCAACAGACTAAACAGCCTGTGCATTTTGTATCTTTCTGTGTTGGTCCCTACAATCTACCACCAAGGAGTTGAACCCTGAAAACCTTGAGGGTTTTAGTTATTTTTGCTGAGTCGATTGAAGCAACCAGCTTGTAGGCTCACTCTAGCAAATCCACTTGGATCCTCCCTAGCTGGTAATAAAATCCTTTCTTTCTCCAGTAACTAACTGATTTCTGAACCGTAACTGTGACTATGTACCATCTCCGTTTTCCGTTTCAGTGGGCTCCAGCCAGCGCTGGGCCAGATCACATCCCCCTCCGCCCCAGGGTTCCCTCTCCGGTTTGCTCCCGGGCTTCCAGCCCCTCCTGCCTGGCTCCACCCGGTTATCCTTCCAAGGATCCCACCTCCACTGCGCCACCTCTCTGCTTTAAAATGTGCGCGGCTTGCTGGTCCTCCGGGAAGCCCCACTCCGGAAAGTGACGCCAGCTGACGTCTCACCCCACCCGGCTCAGTCCAGCTCCGTGCCCCACTCCTGACTGAAAAGGTCTTCCCTCCACACCTCTGTGGGGGCATTCGGGCTTCCTTCAAGGTCCACCCGAAATGCAGTCTTCAAGATGACCTCTGTGACCAGCACGTGTATAAACGTATCACCCAGGTAGACGGCCGTGGAGTGACGCCCGCCGGGTGCCGTGTGCTTTTGCACTGTGGGTACCTCACTTGCAGTTGTTTGTGTTTTGTTTTTTTCTTCCCCACGAGAACGGAAAGGTCCTTCCATCCAGCCTTGTTGCTGTACCCCCCAAACAGCACTGTCTCCAGCACACAGCAGCTACTCCATAAATATTTCTTAAACCAAAATATAACGCTGTCGGAAACCCTAGTGACTGTTTTCAATTCGTCCTGATCTTAAGAATAACAGCTTTTTAGGCTATTTATCTGGACAAAGTGATTTTTCCTATTTCCTCTCCCGATATTTCTTGTGGTTTCTGTGGCACGTTTGCACATATGCTTACTTTGGTCATGCATTCCTTGAGAACAAGCAGCCTGTCTGCTTTAGTGAAAGGTAAGCCATGCTCGGGAGGGCTCTGGGTAGACCCCCCAGACCCCCCCGCCCAGGCTGCCCAGCATTAGACCGCATGGTTAGACAGTGGGAACACTCACTCTAAGCTTGTCGGTGTGAGTCTCACCCGCATTCTGTTTCTCCGCACCACAAAACATGGCTGGAGCCCAGAGAGGAATTTAAAGCTGACTAGTCAATATCACCCATAACAACTTTTAAAAACCTTAAGTATAATCGACACAATTTAACCGGTGTCTAGTTATGTCAGGTCAGCAAAATCAAGGCAGGCAGCTAGGCTGGTAATGTTTCCACTTGAATTTCTCTTGTCTGTGTGTCTCTCAGAGTGCCACACAAGGAGTACCACTGTCCTGTTTGCCCAGCATGAAAACACAGCATGAAACCGTGTAGTAATCTGTGCTCTCTCCACCATCCCATCCTCCCTGCCTTCTTCTCCCACCTTGCTCAAAGTTACCAGTGAGGCCTCTACTGTCCTCATTCCAATTCCCACGGAGCTGCCAATCTTATCAGTGCCCAGCAGGAAGCAGAGGTCAGACAGTTCTCCTGTATTCCTTCTTTTTCTGCAGAGATTACCGGGCTCGTGTCATAAGAACACCAAATCCACATGTGTGAATTTTGAGAATAAGAGATTAAAAAACTGTATCCTAGAGGGACAAGAGAATATTACAATTATTCCAGGTCTTGAAGAAGAAATAGCCGCTCCTGTGGTAATGACTGGATAGCTTGACTCAAGACAAGCTGGATTCCTGAGGGAATATGTTAGGCTTTTAATCAAGTGAGTACAAGCTTGGGATTTTCAAATCTTCTTCCTCTGACATGTGTCCATCATCTTCCAGCTCCTCCTGCCGCTGCTGTTGACACAGCTGTGGTTTCCTCCCCACCCAGGGCCCTGGAGTCTTACCCCAGGCAGCTGGGCCTCCACGCACACAGCTTCATGAAACATTCAGAGATGTCCCTGCTGGGTGACATGTGCCTGTGCCCCAGTGCAATACCTCCACCAGACATCACCTCGGCTCACCTCAGTGGCCTGATCAGGACAGAACAACAGGCGAGGGAGGTGGCTGTTCTGCCAGTCCTGTGTGCATGGCTTTTCGCAGCACAGGCCAGGTCTGTCTAGAAGCCAGGAGTGATTATTACTACTAATAACAGCTCTCATTTATTAAATTCCCACCATGTGCCAGCTGCTTTCTATATGAAATGATGAGAGGTGGCGTTTGTTGAGTTGCTTATTGTACGCCAGGTCTGTCATAGATGCATCGTACTACTAATAACAGCTCTCATTTATTAAATTCCCACCATGTGCCAGCTGCTTTCTATATGAAATAATGATGAGAGGTGGCGTTTGTTGAGTTGCTTATTGTACGCCAGGTCTGTCATAGATGCATCATGTGTGTTTGCTCATTTAATCCCTTTCCTCCCACAGCTACCTGAGGGGTTGATACTAATTTTTTAACGTCAGATGTGTGAAAAAACCGAGGTGTCGACAGGTTCAATAACCTGCCAGGGTTGTATAGCACAGCACTATGCAGATGGAACACAGCCTGGACACCCAATTCCAACAACCAACACCTTGTTCCATTATCTGCATCGATTTTAGTGCTTCTAACAACCCTGCTTTTATTCCTAGTTTATGGATGGGGAAACTGAGGTTCAGAGATCCCAGGGTAGCAAGTAGGTGATTCCTGCTCAGACCGCATACCTCAGAGCCTCGTCTCCTGGCTACGGAGCTCTGTTACCACCAAAGCCCCAACAGCTGCATGGTCTTGAACAAAGCATTCAGCTGTGGCGGTGGAAGGACCTTCAAGAGCTACCATCTTCTCTCTTTTCCATTTTCTATGCCGATTTGATCTCTTACTTCCCCCGGGAGCCCGTCTCCCCTACCCACTTTCACCCTCTCTCTGGGTCCCTCATAAAACCCTCCTTTGTCTCTTTCCTGGGGCCTCAGGCAAGGAACTGACACTGTAAGACTTCAAGGCCTAGCACAGTCCTTGGTACAGCGGGTCCTGGTCCTTGGGGGACCCAGGTCTCAGCCGGGCCTAGCAGCCCCTGAGGGAGAGTTTTGCTTCTGGTGGTGAGGTGCAGGTGGCTGCCCTGATGTCCCCCCGCCCAGCCAGTCCTACTCTCTGGCAGCAGGCCCGCACGGTGCAGAGGGCTCTCCGGTGGTAACTTCCAGTCAGGATGAGCGGAGCCTTCCTAGCCCAGAGGCCTTTGTTTCCCTTCCTCCTGCTGTATAGGAAGGACTTGGGTAGAGATTTCATTTATATAGATTTTTTTTTAATTCTATTTATTTGCTTGTTTATTTATTTACTTTTGGTACCAGGGATC